CACCATCAATCCGTTACGAGCACCTGGTACACAGTTTAAAATGTCTGCATTTGTGTTTTTCTCACTATTCTAACTATTTTGAGATTTCATACATGGTACTTATTGAAGAAAAAGAATGCTCTTGGACTGGACCATTGAGCTTAATGTACAAGGTCTGGACGACGGTTTGGTTTCTGGCTATCATCAGGAATAACACACGGTTCTCCCTCCTCTGACTTTGTGTGAATACAAAATTATAATTAAAAAGTGATAAGTAAGTCAGAGAGGGAATCAGGAGGAGCAATTATTGGTATAGGAGATGCGTGTTTCGGCCAAAGCGGCGGACTTTTTCATCTAAATGCTCTCAAATGTTCCCCGTGGCGTTCATTTAAAGGCTCAGCTCACCTGAAGAAGACATTAAAGACGTGTATTCTGTACACCTGTTGGGCAATTTCACGCTCTAATTCACGACTTTCAAGTGTCACCGACCTCCAGGAATGGGTGTGATGACGGCGTCCTGTTATCTCGCCGATCACCCACGATTTGACAAAACCATGGATTCAACTCTCTTCTGCTCCCATAATCAGATGCATCATGGGTGATATTCTTTTTGATGTTTGAACATGTTAACATCTGAGCTTCTGGTCTGACGAAGCCCAGCATCTCAGTTCATGTGTTTATTTCTTTCTGCACTTGTGGAATAAACTAAATGATATTTTCTCTGAACTGGCTCACAAGCATTTTTTTTTATTCAAGGCCTTGAATCATCACCAACTAATGGAGACATTCTGGTGTGAATGTAAAATGTTGGATAATCAAGGATGTTTGTGTTAATAGAAAAAAGAAGACAAATAGCACCGGCCGCTTTTCAAATAATGGCGACATAATAGCCGAACGAGCTGCGTCAACGATCAGCAAGCTGCTTCCTGTCGGGCATATTCATCATTTTCGGGGATCGCAACGAGCGTTGTTGCTTCTCACACATTAACCCTGCGGTGATGTCTGGACACTTTCAAAGCAAGTCCACACATCCATCCGGCTCCACATCCGCCGTGCGACAACAACCGCGCGACTTCCCGGCAACGCCAGATAACCCGACAAAGGGCCCCCGGCTGGGGTGTGTACTTGGCCTGGTTCCCAGAAGGGGGGAGAAGTTTTGAAAAATCCTCAGATCGACGGTGAGCTTCGGCGTAGGACTCCGCGTCTCATGTCTCCGTGTTTCCAAAGGCAGGTATATAAATACGATGAGAGTAGACTGCACGGCTCTCGGAAAGGAGCTATAGCAGGATAGAATAGAACCCTTTTTTGAGATTTCCCCCTTAAAAAGGAATTGATGATCATGAAACTGATTAGCTGGTGAGGGCGGGCAGCCTGTTTTGCCTCCGTGGCTTTCATACCCATCCATTATTCTAGTATTTATTTATTGTAGTCATATTACAGCTGTTCTTTGGACTGAGGTCAGACTTGATAAGGCCGCCGGACGAATGTACAAGATAATCTTTTCAACGTTATGAATGTGTCACTTGGAATAAAAGAAGTCCGGTTGGTGTATATTGGAAGGAAAGTCCCTCTCCAAATGGCAATATGGTGGCTTAGCAGCCACTGAACTCTTCTGCCGGGTTAGAGAGAATTATATTGTTATTTTTCTACCCTCCTCTGCCATAAAAATAAGGAAGCTTATGGGTTCATGCTCCGGGTATTAACAGAGGGATTAGCAAGGAGGCTCAAGTCCGTGAAGCACACAGCTGTACAATCTCTTTATTGTTGAGATGTCTACTTGAGGTAACACAATTAACTATGTATTTAAAATGCATCCCGGCTCTAAAGAGGCGAGGTGGAAGTGGATTTCAGTTGCATCCGTGTGTGTCATCGGCCTTTTCGTGGCCGTGCACGCGGCCCTGATGACATGTCGCTGTGATGACGGACAAATCAGCTGCGCGGAGCTGCGCACGCACACACACACACACACATACACACACTCTCTGTGGTCAACTGAATGGAAATACAGTTCGACGACAGGTGTTCAACACATTGACATTGATACAGTTCATTGGCGCTCAGCTCGGTGGAATGCATACGGCAGGCCAACAACAAATCAACGCTCTGTGAAGTCATTAGGAGAGAGCACCGGAGTAGTACTGCACAGGGGTACGAATGCAAGTGTACTTCCCCTGCTTGAGTACTACTGCTGTCTGCTTCTTTTTTACCTTTTTTTTTTGTCTCCACAACAATCCAGTAGTTACCTGCCTGATAAAGATTTATCGTGAAAACAAATTACTGTCCTAGAATTAAAGCTCATTGTTAGACCATTCAAACGTCCAACTTCTTCTAAACAAAGCAGCATGTTTATGGTGTTTCAGATTATTTGATGGCCATAAAAGAGAATTTTCCCTCAAAACTCAAAGGAAAAATCAATATTTCGAGAAAATCCTCTGAAAGTTTTTCTGTTTTTTGTTCCTTTCCCATGAATAATCTTTTTAAAATGATGAAGAAGCTGGAACCAGAATTCAAAGTCAGGATTGCCTCCACGAAACAACAACCACAACATTGCTCCCCATCAGTTGTTTGCTGCAGTATTAATGCTCTGTATTCGGTAACGCAATAGTTAGTTGAAAGTAGAAAGTATCCTTTTTCTATTGGTGATAAGATTCAGGTCAATGTCCTGATTCATGATTTTTTAAACATCAGAGCTCTGAGCTGGTGCTTGAGAAGGCCGACACTTCCTGCCCGTATAATTCAGTCAATTCATTTTGGAGTCTGAGGCTAATTGACAGAAAAACAATTGCAGCTCCTGCCACATTCTACCCCTCAATGAAGTACTCATTGGGACAGTAAAACACTCCATGAAAATATTCACCATGCAACTGGTCTAGTTAAGCGTTAAAGCACTATGACGAATAGAGAGGACAACAAAGTACTGCTCTGATCTATTGTGGTATACAGGAGAAATAAGAATAAAAGCTCCTTTATGGATTTCTCCGATGCGTAGAGCTTGTTTCTGATGCACCTGATGCTTCGGCACAATAATAAACCTTTTTGCTGGTTTGATAATGCGTGATTCTATTCCTGCTGCTTCAGTAACCACAGACTTCTGCAGGCTTTCCTTTGTACCTCGACGCCGCGCGTCTCAGCCGCGTCATTGTTACACTTTGTGTGCTCTTTCACAACTATCGCTCTGTTGCATCAGCTCCAACCTTTTTTTTCCCGCAGCGTCACAAACATCGGAAAAGCACCTTGGTGGGGGGGTGGGGGAGGGTCATTTCTGCATCCATTCACCAGATGTTTTCACAATGCCCAACATGTCCGAGGCTGCAGGGGAAAGTCCCTCCTTGACCGCTTAAACGCACACACACACACACACCTACACAACACCGGCCTGCAACTTATATAATGAGTGGGGAGGAATTAATCAGTTTGTTTCCTAAAACCTACACAACGTGCATCGGTGTGAATCGACGTGTCCGCTAAATGAAAGCACTGTTTTTAGACTGAAGGTCATCAAGGTCCAACTTGGATTTACAGTTTTCATGTAAGTTAAGCGAATATGAGAAATCTAAATCTTGTCTGGGTTTGGAGGTGGGGACATTTTCGTGGCCCTGCTCCACATCCTCCTGCTTGCACTCATAATAAAAAATACACTATGAATAATGATTTAATTTAAAGCTATTAACTAAATGAGGAAATCGTTACTCATCGAACCATTGCTTGAATTCAGCTCTGTGCGTGCTGCGTAATCCTCCTTTGGAAAAATGATTTTCTGCCCCTGATATGATTTTAGAAGACGATGGAAAAAAAAAGCAAAATATGGAAAGTGGAAGTACAAAGTGGGAGCTCGTCTCCAGCCCTCCTCCCGTGTCTCTTGCCAGGGGAGTAAACACTCTTTTTGCTCCTTGGCGAAGAAGGTTTTCCTGAAATGATGAAACATTTCTAAGCATTACCGGGAAGCTTGAGCTCAAACAGCATCTCTCCCCCCCCCCATGTCACTCTGTACAATCTGCTCTTACAGTGGAACAAGCCAGCTTGCATAATGCAAAGTGATCATCCAAAAGCATTTGTAATACAAATGTGAGGATTTCAGACGTTGCCTCAAACTGAAACGTTTCCTTGTAAAGAAGGTTTCTGAGTGAGAGGAAGCGACTGACGTCATAAGGGAACAAGCGCTTAGTAATAACTTTTGTCAGACGTGTAACAAAATATCCCAAAACTCTCTCACACAGGGCGATCGAGTGTTTAAGGACTTAGCCGTAGAGAAGGTTCCTCGGAGTGATTTACATACATTAGCCGACATCAAAAAGACTCTTTGTGCACCTCTGAGTCCTTTTATTACTTCAAACGGACGTTTCTCCCACTTTGTGGAATTAGCCGTGACTATCTGCGCCTTCACCTGTTTAATGGGAACTTGACCTGGCTGTGATGCCAGGAGGTGGATATGAAAAGTCCACTGATCTGAAGTCTGAGAAGCCACAGACCGCGCCTTCTATTTGTTTGCATACGACTTTCTCTATCATTGTCTACAGTACATGGATTCTCTATCATTGTCTACAGCACATGGATTCTCTATCATTGTCTACAGTCCATGGCTTTTGGCCCTATAAAGCATCGCAGGTGGCAGAGGTTTTTCAGGCTGTGGCTTTTTGTGTCAAACTGGCTTTTTGTTTTCTTCCCAGAATAAAGAGGCCTCTATAGAAGCGTTGGCCGCGGATAACTAAATATGACTTAATAACCTGTGATCATCCAGGCTTGCACAGGCCGTCATTCGTATTGCAAAAGAGGGCTGTTTGTTTCCACAGTAACCGTGTTTGGCAAGCGCACGGGGGATGAATTGCAGCAGTATCTCGCTAATAATAATTTCTATTATCTACGCTGGATGTTTAGATTATCATGCAAATTAGGGGACGTGCCGGCCGACAGCAGGCAGGAGCTGGAGGCTGGTGAATAGGGGACATCCAATAAAACAGTCGAGCGAGCACCACGCAAAGGTGTGCCGAGAAACACGCGGCAGAACAAGGTGAGCAGCGATGGCTTCTTTTCAAAAAGGCTCAACATACGTTTGTGGAGTTTTTGTAAAAGCCACAACCGCAGAAGAGGAAGTTGCTTAGACAGGTGGCAATTCTTGAGTTGCTTCACACTTCCCCGTAAAGCATTTAAATAAAGACTTCCCTTTTGGTGGGTGAGAGTTCTATATAAGAGCCTCTGTCTTTTTCACTGCTCACTTTGGTGTGATGCTGCTCGCTGCATAAAGGTAAGAAACCAGCTTTTCTCCCGAGTTAGTTATTTTCATTCTGTCTTAATTCTGTTTTTTTTGTAAATGCATGCAAGAGATGCTGGAATTAGATTGTAGATGTTGTTTTCGATGGGCAAGCTGAAGCATTGAGACGCTCCGTTAAGTCGTTACGTTTATGAGGGTCATCATTAACTCAACATGTCTTGTAAATGTGCATATCCTGAAAACGGGGGCTGGAAGTTAATGATAAAAGCATCATTGTTCTGTATTTACGACAGGGAGGAAGCAATAAAACGGCATTATGGTTTGTAAACAAAACCATGCGCCAGACCAAAACACCAGCTCCCCATTAACACATAATTGAGCTTCACAATAAACTGAAGTACGGTTATAGAAGCAAATTAAGAGGGAATCTGGACAAAAATGAATTAGAGCTTATCTCTCTTCTTCCTGTGGTCTTTTGGCTGGGAGGCTAAAAATGTGAAAGTCGAGCAGCGCGCTCTTAAACTGAGGGACAGTCGGTGCTCTGCGGAGCCGTAATCTCCTTCCATTCTTTCTTATCAGCGCGGCTCAAAACCCTCGAGGAAGCGATGAGCGTTGGTTTATCGGTTGGGACAGGAGGACCACGCTGTCTCACCCGGTTTGTTCCAGGCCGTTGACCCGAGAAGGAGCCCTTGTCTCGCCGAACCCCCCCGCGCCGCAGTGTATCCATTCCCCCTGCGGAGCGGTGGATGTAATGTGACACATCTCCGTCCCCTTCTGTCTTACATCCGGAGGGGCGCCACCATGCAGCAGTGCCACACCGGACTGTGTCTGTCTGTCTACATATTCACCTTCGTGCTGGGCTTCCCGGCCAACGTCCTCGCCTTCTACACCTTTTTCAAGAAGGTGAGGCGGAAACCCACCCCCATCGACATCCTGCTCCTCAACCTGACCATCTCCGACCTCCTCTTCCTCGTCTTTCTGCCCTTCAAGATGCAGGAAGTGAGGAACGGCATGCGCTGGGACATGCCCTATATCCTCTGCCCGCTGTCGGGCTTCGTCTTCTACATGACCATCTACAACAGCACCTTCTTCCTCACCGCGGTCAGCGTGGAGCGCTACCTGGGCGTGGCCTTCCCCATCCAGCACACGCTGAAGAGGCGACCGGCGTACGCCAGCGCCGCCAGCGTCTTCTTCTGGATCTTCTCCTTCATCCACCTGAGCATCGTGGTCATCGTGCCCTTTATCGGCCCTCAGCGCTCCCCGAACGGCACCTCGGAACACGCCGTCGCCGACAAGTGGAACGTGTGCTACACGAACTTCACGGAGAGCCAGCTGCGGGTGCTGCTGCCCGTGCGCCTGGAGATATGGGTGGTGCTCTTCTGCATCCCCTTCCTGATCAGCAGCTACTGGTACATCAACTTCATCGAATCCTGTCCAAGGTGCAGCACATCGGGCGGCGCCGGCGTCTCCGGGCCATCGGCATGGCCCTGGGAACCCTGCTGGTGTACGCGTTGTGCTTCGGCCCGTACAACGTGTCGCACATCGTCGGGTTCGTCACGTGGAGGAGCCCCAGCTGGCGCGACAAGGCGCTGCTCTGCAGCACCTTCAACGCTTGTCTGGACCCTCTCATTTTCTACTTCTCCTCCTCGGCGGTGAGAAAGACGGTGGGTGGCGTGATAGGAGGGGTTAGGAGTCACCTCGACAGGTCCTGTCACGTGCTCCGGGCCTTGTGTGGGGGGACGAACAAGCCCGCAAGAGATGAGGAACGCAAACAAGAGGAGATCAATGCTATCTGAGGAGAGACTGGAAGAAAGCCGCCAGCAGCTGCCTCCGCTAATTTGTTCATTCTTCGCCGGTGGAAGCAGGAAGAAGTCACGTTTAATGGGTTTTTTTAGGCGAGGAAGCTGCTTGGCGCCCTGTGCGCGGCACACGGTCAGACTTTTTGAGGAACTTCCTGTTGGGAAACCAGAGAAGGAAGCATAGCCGTTTGCATTGTAATGAGCAAGCTACGGAGACTTTGACCAGTCGTATTCAAATGAGAAAGACTTTTAAGTGAAGTGAGATGAAGGATTTTAAGAACTCGATGCATTGGGGTGTTTTCCTCAGAGCTCCTAAAGAGTCTTTAAGAGGATTGAACTGTGTTGAAAATGACATGACTTTATACGACCTTACAAACACACAGGCAGCTAATATGCGGTCTGCTGACATGTAAACATGGATTTGCTTAATTAACCTGTGATCATTTTCATGGAGATTTTAGATTATGTTATTTCTATCACAGATGTTTATTATATCAAAACTAAATGTAGCAAACACATAGAATGAATGTTTTAATATCAGAGGGATGAATGCTTAGAATATACGTCTGAAAGATAAGGACTTTACACGGAAGTACAATCTTCATAAAAAAATCATGTAAATATATATTTTGCTAAATACATTCGTCATATAATGGGTGATACGTGAGTGACTGTAGCCGAGCCGAGGAATATAAAGTGATAACATAACCGTTGCTTTCATAAACAAATCACATAAAAAATAAAAAATAAATTCTTTTGAAAGAATGTGAATCGTACTTATAAAAATCTACCTGAATGTGTGTACCTTTTTAAAAAAACAACCATATATATGTGTGTGCATATATGTAAGGCAACAGATATATATACCTATGAATATGTTTATTCAAATATCTATGTACGGTACTAGTGAAAAAAATAAAACAAACAATATGCAATTGTTTTAGGTTTATTCAACAGATTTTTTTTTTTTTCACACCACAAATCTGGTTGTTCTGTAGACGTATATCTTAGTGAAAATGTAAAGGTCATTATTACTGGCAGGATTTGGTGCTATTGGTAAATGTAGTCAGGCAAACCCCCCTCCCCCCCAAACTATGTCATAAAATGATATCAGAAAGCGAGTTTAGCGAGCGGCAGGCCTGTGAGGTCAAGTGTCTGTTTGATGGATCATCATTCGCTCTGACACACGGAGCCCAATAAACCACTGAGACCTGCAAACCGGCCTTTGAGCTGATCTAACAACATGCTAGTCTGGGTTACCGTGGCAATAAAGCAAAAAAATTATTTATCATGCAAAAAGAAATCAGTGTTCAGAGGACGTACGGGGGCTGAAAAGCCAAGCAGAATATAAAGAAAGAGGTTTAAACAGGGCCGAGGCTTTGAAATATCAAATATAAGAGAGGGGGGGGATTATACAGTTACTCATGGTGCAGAATTAACGGTTTAGTCGGTTGAATCTCATTTTGTGAACCGTGACTTTTTATTTGTAGAAGGTCGGTCTGCTGAGAGTCTCACCGAACTCCCAGTGGCCCCTTTTTTTGTTTTTTTTCCTCCCGCTTCATTTTGTTTTTCCTGGAAGACAATAATTGGTCTTTGCGTCAGTGTTGACTTTTTCCAAACAATGTTTGATAGGTTACAGGGGAAAGGCAATAAGAAAAACATCCCTGTGTGTGTGTGTGTGTGTGTGTGTGTGTGTGTGTGTGTGTGTTTGTGTACATGACTTGTTTGCCAAAGGCAGAGGAGAAAATTGTACTCACCAGGTAGACATAATTTCCACTACACGCTGAAATGTTTGACGGCTGTTTGGAGCAGGATAACCTAAATTAAATATAGCCTTTAAACCACTCCCTCTAACTCTGGCTGGGAGTTTCTACTCACATTTACCTTCAAATAAAAAGACGACGGTCATCGCAGAGAAGAGACGCATCTTCAGAATGTTCAAGTGCACAATCAGCTCGTTAGGGGAAGCATCTGGAAAGTAGAGCAAAAAAAAAAGGCAAACATTGATTAGTACTGACTTATCGCGTTATTGAGCACGACGGAATTAAATCTGGAAGGTTGAACAGGCTTCGGTTGATGGACACCCGCCTCCTCGCTGGGAGGAGAGAGGTGTTTAAGGATTGATTAGATAAATCATTGATTTGTTCAAGTATGCAGTATTGCAGGCAATCTGTCGCCTTAGAAATGATCGATGTCTGACCCAAATTAACAGTGAAGTAGGGCAAACACCGAACACGCCACTTTTGGTACGTGCCGCTGCTCCCGTAGCTCTGTGTCGGCACAGATTTGAGGAAGGAAGTGGCCTGTAGACTCGCAGAGAGGAAAGGGTCCAAATCTGGTTCACTTCCTTCGAGGAGAATTGTAGTTGGAGGGCTTCGAGGGCAAGAACGCCTTCAAGAGTTCAAGAGTTGACCGGCTGCATGTGTGAGTGAACATCTATAATGAATAGATTAAATGACTGCATGTGATGGAGTAATAAACCAACACACAATACTGAAATATGTCATTTTCCTGCACCTTTTCTTTCAGCTATTTACTTTTTCAGACAAAAGATTCAGAATTTATTTTATTATTATTATTTTATATATTGTTAAAGCTAAACGTTATATCTGTGCAATGCATCCTCACCCCCCAAAATGTATAAAGACAAGTATTTAGGTAAATAGTTAAATATTTAAAACTAGTTGACATGATATAGTTCAATATTATACTCAGATTCTTTTATGCTGCAAGATATTCAAAATGTCAGATAAGGAAACTTTTTAACTGATGCCTTAAAGGCAAATTTCAGACTGTATTTATGAAATGTATTGATTCTCGTGGCTCGTGGAGGCACAGAGTTCAGCGACCAATCAGAGGACAGCGGGGCGCCGCCATCAAGGTGTGCAGCCGTGTTGTCACCGAGGCTCAACGCAGGGAGGGGAGCCTGAGCCGGGACCTTTTTTAAACGGCAGACAGGAACCAACTCAAGAGATGAACCATGCTAGTCAGCAAAATAGTAACACAAAATGTAAACTTTGCGAAACCTTAAGAGAGAAGTCCTTAAACTTCAAAAAGTAGCCGCACCCCCAAATTTCTCAGAAACTCTGACTGAAGTCAAAGGAAACGAGTCTATTTCCTGTTGCTTCACAAAGTAAACAATTAGTCTGAACAATTAGACGCCTACATTTTCCTATTTTATGATCAACACCCAACAACAGGCCAGTTTGTTCGACACAAATTAAAAACGTCAGATGATACAGACTGTAAATTGGAGCAGTGCAGATACAAATAATGATATGCGGCGACGCCAACAGAAATCAAATATCATCACATATGTTGATTGGTTGTTGTTACAAATGACCATAATTGCCTTTTGCACCCTTTTGCACTTTTTGTACCATTTATAGAAAGCCAAAAAAATATAAAGTTAATATTGAATTGGCATAAAAAAATGTAGAATTGAAATAAAACAATTAAAAAAGAACAACGCAGGTATGAACCAGCATTTTGGACCCGTGGAGCCTTCAATGCATTGAAAGAAACTCAAGGGAAGCTTTTCTTCCGCTTGAATGATTCCCACATAATCATTCGGCCATCCTTCCATGCCTTGTTTTCAGGTGAGTTTCAATTCCCTGGGCAAGATCGATACAAGGCCCCTGCACGTGGTGCCGGGGTGATTATTTCTGGATCTGTCATGAAACTGCTCAGGCAAAAAGATGACCTCTGAGAGAATCGCGCATGGTTTGATTTCTTTATAGATTGGACCTGTTATGGTGGATTGTGGTCCTGTATCGAGCTGCCTCGCACTGAACACCGCGGCTCTCTGCAAATGAGACATGATCAGCAGCAAAGCCCACCGTAATAAAACCAGTCGTCTTCTTCTTCTTCTTCTTCTTTTTCTTCTTCTTCTTCTCACCCCAGACGAGCAGCTTGGTCCCGGTCCAGAATCCTCCAGCGCCACCACGGACATCCTGGGCGACTTGGGCGACTTGGGGATGAGCCGTTCTTTTTTTTTCCTGACTGCAGCCTGAACCACTGGAACCCTGAACTTGAGGGATTCAGCTTTGAAATGACAGGGTGGCCGTGTCACCGTCATGCGCGGGGGGTCGCGTGACCCTCAGTCCGTCGGGAGCCGCTGTCAGGGTTAAAGACAGAGCCATTAATAAAACGTGCCCTGCTAAGAGCTTTTGAGGAGCAGAGAGCGGACCGGCAGGTCGACTACAAATGCTCCAAAGGTCTGCTTAGTATTCCTGGGCGGAGGGAAGGTCGCAGAACTCAATCAGATGAATGGGATGTCAATTCATCTGTTTTATAATGCACCAAACACGTATCCAATGTCTCCCAAGGATTAGAACTTCAGCCAACACCAGATGTTTTTTTTTTTTTTCTCTCTCCAAAGAAAACTTTTGCACTCTCAAGGAAAAAAGATTTCAACAGCTCGTAAACGGATCTGTTTGATTGTGGCATGTCTGGCAAAGTGTTATGAAGTGATTATAATAGTGCGATGATGAAATACTGCAGATGAGAAAAGCAAAACACTCAAGACGCACGCGATCGGCAGATGGGAAAGAAGAACAGCAAACACACAAAAAAACTCCATCTGCCTCCTACTTCTATTGTCGCAATGCAATCGTTGGCTTGATGCAAATAATAAAAAATGTGGTAACAAATGCATATCAAAGACAACAACAAAAAAAGAAGAAGCATGAAACGGGTGAAAAGGGGTAGGCAGTTGATACAAAACAAACACATAGACTGACCTGCTGCAGACACAAGTGAGACATCGTTGCCACGGTGACGCTGTTCCCCCTTTCCAACCCTGAAATAACTCCTCAGGCACTCCGAGGGCCGGAGCTCGCTGTGCTTTACCACGCGATGGTGTCAGCTTGTTTTTGTTGTTGCGCTGTGCGGTTTGAGGTGATGGTTCAATAATAGGTCACTCTTCAGAAGAGACCTGATTCTTACTAGAAAAAAGAAAGAAAAGAACAAATAGACGCTTCCTGCATCCTGAATGAAACCCACGAGCAATCGCTGATTCTGAAGGTTTGTGTTTCCTTCTGCTGTAGTGAATTATTTAGATTTTCACCGTCATTTGGAATGAGTTACATTTCGAATATTTACCCAAAAGGACTTGGATTTACAGCAAGTTACCTCACATATAATTGCTTATTACTTACAAAAAACACAACGCAAAGAACACTTGAGACTGGAAGAAGTAATGATTGAGTATCTTCAATTTGTCAAGTAATAAAGCTTTTACAAGCAGCAACAACTTCTGTCTTCTAGTTCAGAGGCTTTGCAGCACGTAACTGGATATGTTGATGTATTCAAAAACGCTTGTTTTGATTTGTGCTGTATGAGTATTTTCTGTGCAATAGCTGTAAATATGAATTTCCTGAGTGGCCTAATGAGCATAATGAGCGTAATAAATTCAGATCTGCGTCCCCCGAGGGTGAGAAGAGATGTGGTACTAGGTGTAATCATCATCATCATCAAAGCCAGACACGCAAGTTTAAAAAAAGTAGTTCAACTTGAGGAAAAACAGTCTAAAACTTTTAGTTGTGAATTGAAAAAGACAGATGATCCGTTAATTGATCCATTGAACTAATTACTAGTCAAGGGGGTTTAAAAACAGGGACAAATATGATTATTCCAAATAGGTCAGCAGTGAAGATAGTATTTCATTACTTTAAAATGCCAATATTTGTGGTCACAATAATGGTGGAAGTCACCTTTTTTGGTCCAACATATCCAAAGAACACATCCCCAATTTCATGTTCTACCCAAATAAAACATTCAATTTACCTACAGTGTGATGAAAGACTTAGCAAGTATCATTTAATTGTGTCCTCACCAAGTATACACACACTATAAAAATTGAATACTCTTTCGGATTTTTGTTTTTTAAACAATTTTCAAGAAATTGTTAAATAAAGCACCAAATCTGAATGACGGAATAAACCCTAAAAGAGACGCGTGAGCATGTGATCAGGCATCACACCCATCCATCAGGGTCTTGTAAACCCCTATTCACATTTTAATTAACAATTGATTATTTCATGTTATTTTTGTCATATGCAAACTGCTGAGCTGCATCTCAAATTGATCTTCAGGCTTCCAGCTTTCAGATGATGTAACAGTTCCGAGTGGCTCAAGCATGACCTGCTATCTCCCCTAAAGATCTCCTGTCCCTCCTACTGAACGCGTTCTGTGTGGGTCAGTAAGGATTTAAAAACCTGAACAAAGTGAATTAGCGCAAAATTTATAATTTTATACATTTTTATAAATTTATAAAAAATAGCAGAATTATGATCACTCTGATTGACGATAAGCGAATAAGCGGAAAGTTTCCTCCTGCTTGTAAGAAATGAGCATGAGCAGAATGACAACAGCCCGTTGCAACCCGTCAAAATGGATAAATTAGTTAACATATTCACTTTTCATAGCTCACTCCTATTGTGGAGTTATCACCCACTCAATGAATTCCAATCATTGGTTGTCAAGTGGTTTTGGTATGAACCATTTATTCTGACAGTTTCATCAAACTGAACATTCAGACATTTTGATTTAAAAAAAAAAAAAAACTTTCTCAAAGAACCTGCAGACTGAACAAAGGCAGAAGCTCTTTCCTCAGCAGGAAGCCGCTCTCCTGACCTCCCGTCCTCTCACAGAGCAACAAAGCACACACAGCGAGTCCTGGTAGAAACAAAACAGATTTATTTTTTGTCTCCCTCCACATGATAGGATTTTTAACTCCACTTCTCGGATTTTGAAAAAAAAAAAAGAGAAATAGCACAAAGTCAAAGGAGAGCCGCTCAGCCACCGAACAGATCCAAAAGAAGAAGTACAATCATCACTGAACACCTGTCACGGTGGAAGGCAAATGTTTTGCTCCTTTACATTGTTTTTTTTTTGTGTGTTTGGACTGATGAGATCTGGAGAAAATGAATAGTCTGTAATTCAGGCCTGTGTTTGGGAAGTAAACAACCACGTCAGCCCTGTTCACATAATACAAAACACACACGCTTCTACACTCTTCACCTTGGTAGGGGCCTGTCCTTTGTCGTCACAAGTCCACGATGTCCTCACAGAGCAAGCGGGTAGACCATCGAAACGTCCTCGTAATCCGGCCAAACCAAAACAGACGAGACAAACACAAAAAGAAAAAACAACCAACACATCATTTACAACAGAACCGGCAAACTGCACGAACGAGGGGCACTGCGAGGTGGGACAGCAGGACGTCTCACAGGTTGTCACCACTCGAAAAGTGATGGAGGACAGGGGGAATGACAGCAATGTGTGTGTTAGGTGAAAGGTTGAGAGCAGGTTAGGCTCCTCATTGAACCAGACAACTCATCCCCCCCAATTACACACGGTTGGTTCTCTCCTGGTAAAACGTGTGATTAGTTTTCAAATGGGACGTTTTGCATTACTCTGCTGTGGGACTTGCTGCGGTCCGTTTGGCTGGGATTGTTCTCTTGAGGCAAAGCAAGAGGCCAGACCCCGCCTGCCCCCACTCCCCCCCCTATTATACATCCTGTTATGTACCCCGGCCGCCAGCGCACCGAACGCCCTAATGAGACGCATGCAGCTTGCATCAATGAATTGTCGACGTAAATCAGCGCAATAAAACACCAGTTGGAGCTGTCAAAAAACTTTTTTTTTTCAAAAAATCAAAGCTTCTCGTGTCAGTTTTCGGCACCACAACCAATATTTACCCCGCGGTTGATTGACAGGCGAAAGGCCAGGCGTGGGCGGGTGATTCAGAGAGGCCGAGTAATGGGATTCCTCCCATGCTGGAGATGTGAGGTGGGCGACTTAATGACTAGGGGAGACGCGGTGGGCGAGACGCCTCCATTGTGTTGTTGCCTGGTCCACGGGCGCGTTGCGGCGCGCTGATGATTAGCCAGACGCTGCCGTTTTCTCCGTGAGGTGAGCGATTTGATAAGACGCCATCTGCGGTGAGGAAGGCGTCTCATGTGACCCGGCGTCTCTGCTGCAAGCTGAGGTTTGAAATATATACAGGACACCTATTTATTACAAAATACTACCACTAAACACTGCAGTATAACATCTATCCTCCCGCCTCTCCGGCCATCCATTCCGCCCAATAAATTAACCCGATATCCTCATCATGCGACTCTTTAATGATGTTTCTGATGTTTCAAACACCTGAAGTGTGCTCTTGCTCGCCGAGACCTTCCGTCGTCACAATCCCGTCCAGCGTGCTGTGCACTAATGTAGTCATTAGCTGCGGTAATGGAAAAGTACTGGGCACAAATAGACTTTCAACGTGGACTTTGCCCGTGATAACCCAATGAGCCTGTAGATAGTTGGCGAACAATGGATGATTAGGATAATGTATGGGAATTAGGCGGGCTTTGCTGTGAAGGACGTGAGCATCGATAATCACTTATATACAATCGTCACTCTGCGCATACAGCCTTTTGGGACACCGACTGTGGTGCAGCAATGCAATTTCTCACATCATTAAATTAGGATCTGTTGCGTTTAAATTACGATTGTACTGCAGGCGTACATCTTAACTGTTTTACATACAGAAATAAGCCTCTCGATACACAGCGTCAACGGCTGCTGCCGTCGATCCAGGTCACATCGCTGTCATTGCTTATAAAATACAATGCAGCACCAACTGAACTGCGCTTAGCGTGTAAAAGCCCAACAAATACCAGCCCGGCTTGACTTGAGAAACAACCGATTCACTCTTCGTTCCATCTGAGCTGCAGCTTTAAAACACATAGTTTACCGAGCTGACGTTACAGCCAAGCATAAATGGTTTCAGAGAAGGGTTTAAAATCAATGTGCAATTAGGGGTGTCTTGTATCAGGCGTGATGAATTATGCTCTCGGTTCCGAGGCGCTTCTACGGACACTTGATCAATTCAGCTTCTGGGGCGTCGGTGAGGGCCGGCCCGGGAGGAATGACTCCATTCCAAAGCCATTTGGTCCAATGTATTGATTTGCCATTGCCTTCGGAATGGAAAGTCGGTCCGGGATCCGTTGCACGTATGGGAGGGTGTTCCGCATACAAAACGGAGCCCGCAGCGCCGCTCACAAACCTTCCCGGGGCTCGCAAACCGCCTTCCGCCGCTCTACGGTGTCGGCTTCGAAGCCCCGTAATTATGTTACAGTTTACAGTACCGGGGAACGATGTGCCGCAGCGTTGCTCACACAAGCTTAATTACTCCTTTCAGCAAAGGCGCGGCGCTCTGAAACTGCTACAGGTATTTCACAAACCATGTTCTCAAGCCCTCGTGTAAACACTGCACTGATATCTTAACAAAAGCACAAAGGGCCTTTAATCTACAGCCATGTGCAATCACCTCCCCTTTTTTCCAGAGGTGTAAATCCATTACTCCAATCTGACCGCAAACAAAAGAACAGCTTTTAAAGTGCAACACAACGCCGCGCACTCTCATCTGGCGCGACGTGCTGCTTTTGCGAGCTCGAAATAAAAGCGTCGTGCCATCTAATCGAGCCCCGATCCTGGGTAAACACATCAGAACCTCCGGCAGGCAGGAGCCAATCAAAACCTTCTCCTCGGGGGGGCACCAGATGTAATTAGAGGCCGACGAGACGTCTTGTTTATCCCGCCGTAAACTCATTGAACCCCGGCTGGGGGGGTTATTTATACACTTGAAGTAGGCCAGACTGCGTTTTGCGATCAATGCTATGTTAATGCTGTTCATATTACACAGTGGCGCCATAAATAGTCTGTGGTGCACCTTCCCCGGGGAAAGACCACCGCGCTAAAGTGTGGAAAATGCGAGGGCTTGGAGGCGTTCACATTTGGGTTGTGGTTGTCCCGTCTCCCCCCCTGTGCTCTCAGCTTTTGGATTTGCATTGTCAGGGTTTCTTCTACACTCTGCTCCCCCCCACACACCCCCTCCGCGCCCCCCAGGTCCTCCTCCCTCGTACCAGAAGAAGCGTGATTCATTTACACACGTCGTGACTCGTGATTCTTTAGTTGTTTGCTTGTACAAATGCACACATTCTGCTTGTCATCACGAGTTTCCAGCAATATTGCTTGAATTGCCCCCCCCCCACCCCCACCCCTCCACCCCCCTCCCGCAATCTGGACCCTTTACCCATGAAGCTGAACACAACATACAGTTTGTTTGTTTTCTTTTCTTTTTTTCAAAATCCACCCATACACCAACATTGACGTGCTTTTTTTTCGATCCCACATTGAGAAACATGACGTTATTATCCTCCCTTTTTTTTTCTTTTTTGTCCGTGCCTTTTTTTTCCAGGGAATTTTTTGTTCTTTTTCATCATCAAGGACAGATTATGTACATAGAGATGTTATATGCCACTGACAAACCCAGTGGGAGGCTGACATGGAACAGTGTACAGTACTTGAGTAGGAAACTGAAATAAATGAAAATATAAAAAACCCGGCATGAAAGACAGAGATACTGAGAGGATGAAAAAGGGGCCGAGACAGAAAAAAGAAGCACTGACCAGAAAACCTTCTCTTGTGCTTGAAGTGGAATCCGTCATAACTTTTTGGAGCAACAAGATGCACAAACACTGCGTTCCGTCACACAGACGACCCGACTACATCGCAGAGGGCAAGACTTTTTGAGCACAACATTAACTGCTTTAGATTAAGGACCATTTAAACGGAGCTTCACAATCATTTCAGAGTACTGTACACGGTAAAAGTACGACAATAAACTTATTTGATATACCTTGTTAATGTCCTCTTCGGATATTACACCACAGCTCTAACCACATCGGATACCTCTCAGTAGAGTTAGGGGGGTTATTGCTGGTTTGAAACAAAATCAAACAAAACACATTCAGGCAGTTGATTCAATACGGTGTAATTCCCCTTTAAGGTCGCAGTGGTCCGAGTCCGGCGGGGGGGGGCGGGGGGCACAAACTCATCTCTCCGTGCAAGCTTGTTATGGCAAATTTGCATATAGTCGCTGCATGTGAGAGGAAACAGTGTTTCAGGAGAAATGTGGGTTTTCCTCCCCACTGTTTGTGCTGCTGTGCGTGGGGGTTGAGGGGGGCGGGAGGGGTGGGGGGCAGAGGATGGATAATTGTGCCACGGGGGTATCGCAGGGCCCATGTCTGCATGTCACAGGTACACATCGGCGGGGGGGGGGGACCGGTGCACCGAGGCGGGGTTTGTCCTTGAAGAGGATTCCTGTCAGTGGCAGGTATGAGCTTGATTTATGGGCGCCATCCCCAGCTGGGGAGGGGGGGGGGGCACAGGTGGAGCCAAGACTCCTTCACTTAGCCAGCCACGGGAATTGGCTAATTACATCTTTATCTCCCTGTGGTTTGACCCAACAAGAACCACCTTACAGCCACAATTCATTTATCGGTCTGGTTGGAGAGAGACACGCGATGACAACTGGACAAACACGCCGTTAATCTGTGGTGCAGTTATAAGCATGGAAAAGTAAAAAGTCCAATACATAAACTGTTACAAATTATATATAGCATCATCATTCACTGCTTCTGGCCTCGGATGAGATAATTGTACGGTTTCGAATGTTTTTTTTTAAAAAGCTCGTCATGGCAAAAAAGAGCACATCACTTCAAAAAACTACATGTCTCTTTTTTCCCCCATTTGTGGTTGTTCAATGTGTGACTTTCTGAGAGTTAAGTACAAAAAAAAGTTTTTTTCCCCAAGCACGGCTCATTACCATCAGAATGTTTTCATCTTCTTTTTCTCACATGGAAATACTATTCATAGTTATTCAAATACTAATTAACATCATCATCATCTGTACTATTATTAACACCAATAAAGTAAAAGCAGGTAACCTTGCAGAGTAAAACAGACACAGTGCAGGGAAAGGTGGGGTTGGCTCGGGGGTGGAGGTGGTGGTGGTGGTGAAGGGAGTGTGGACTCACAACAGGAACATCTCTAACCGGTACATGCTATCAACAAGCGACAAAGAGGACGGCGTCGCAGCCTGGAAGCAGAGGACATCTTTGTGGCGGGACAGTCTCTCGCCGCTTCGCACAGCCGGAGCGGGTGGGGTCGAGGGTGGGGGTCAGGAAGGGTTGTCGTTCGGCCTGTATATATTTACACTGCGGAAGAAGAGGAGGGGGGGGGGGGGAGGGGTGACACGGAGAACACTAAAGCGATGTGAAGGGCAACTAGACAGAGCACGTTGAACATGGGGGGCGAGGGGGGTAAAAAGGTTTGGGCGGTGAAGGGGTCCACATGCGAAACCTTGGTATAAACCCCCAAAGTTACATAAAGGGGGAGTTAAGAGTGACGCCGTCACCACCCACCCTTTTTTTTTTTTAAATACATTTTGACATCATTCATAGCAGCTTCACTGCTACACGGTTAAAATCCAAAAGCCATACGTGTGTGTGTGTGTGTGTGTGTGTGATCAGAGGGCGACACTCCACATGGCGACCAATTGAACAACTTTCAAAAGGTACAATGACCGTCTTTAACACGTTATTACTATAATTCTATAAATATCAACCGTGATATTGATATTTGATATATCATTTCCATAAGGCAAACATTGTAGGTCAGTCATTAGTCTATGTATAATACATATATGATCGTCCAGTTGTTAGACTATCTACTTTCTCATTGATCACCGACACAATAATTGTTAATATACACTCTCCATCAACATCAGCTCGGTGGCAATAATGAGGGGCAAACCAGGTGAGGTGGGGAAGGGGGGGGGCGCCGAGTCAGACGAATCTGCAAGGCATGCTGGGGGACAAAAAGAGAGAGTGTGTGCGAGAGAGATGATGACGACGCTTTGACCTCCAGATTGAATCGAGGCGGCGGGGTTTCTTTTTTTTGGGGGGGGGGGTTGTGTGGTTGATGCGATGGCTCCTAGAATAATGCATATTCTTTTTGTTCACAGTGATGGGTTCGTAATTAAAGAATTTCATTTCCTTCTTCCTTCCGTCGAGGGGGAGAAAGGGAGGAAGAGGGCGGGAGTTGGGGAGGGGGGGGGGGCGGCGGTGTTTAGGGACAATTCCGAAAGTGGATCTTCATCTTTACAGCTTCAGCAGAAGAACAGCAGAGAGGGAAACCCAGACACTCATCCCAGCGTGTAGACCGGCCCCTCGCCCCTGTATGGCCCCCGGTCCTGGAGGGGCGAGGAAAGGTGATAAAATATTAATATTACAATTAATAATACAATTATTTCCAAGACGTTGACGCATCTCAATAAGCACGGTGAGAGATATTTGACTTTAGTAACACGTTAACGTGGTCAAATCTCAAGTCGGAGAAGCCGTGACGTGTTTTCCCGATGGTAATAGTTCTGCCTGTTTGTCACTGTATTCAGAAACCCATGTGTGGGTCAGGGATCACACCCTGACTTGTCCAACAGGCGAAACTAATAACATTTATAATGGCGCTGCTCCATTTGCGTGTGCCAGAAAATCCCAACCAGCCCAGGCGGCAAAAACGCATCACTAGCACCCTCGTTAGTGTCATTACTCAGTGCAGGTCAAAGTGTCCGCGTGTTCGTGCACTTCATTTAACTCCTGGAAAAATAATGGATCATCCTTCTCCAACAAGAAAAAACAAAAGTCGAAATGAAGAATATCCTATTTGCGAGAAAAACTGCAAGAGAAACACAATTGAATTGGATTCTCTCCTCCTGTTTCGTGCCATTTGGCAATCTGGTAGAACAGCATCCGGGCGTCTTATAATTGAACATTGTACAGTGAAAGCTGGTGCCGCCTGCCAGTGGCTCTGGTAATAGGCTCACCATCAATTCTGATGTAACGCGGAGTTGTGAATATTAAAAAATGTTGCACCTTCTTAAAACGGTGAGGTGTAAAAGAAGGACAAAAGCATGAAAACAAAGCGGGCAGGGACGAGCAGTGCATCAATAGAAATAAAAGCAGACGATTACGGTCAGATTTTCCACGCCCGCTCCACAACGGAGAAGGATTTGTTGTGTTCTAATGATGGCGAGCGGGCGGGGGGGGGAGATTAGGAAGGAAAGAGGAGGCGAAAGGACAGATGACGGAGAGACAGGCTGACAGAAGTGTCAGCGGCGGGGGGAAAGAGAGCAGGAAGATGTATGGGTCTGACGAGAGAGTGAGTCATTGAAGGGAGACCGGCTGGGATAATGGGCAAAGCAATGAAAGAAGAAAGGGGATAGATGAAGGACTCACTTAAGATGGTAATGCTGAATGCACTAGAGGGGGGAGGGGAGGAGGGTGGGGAGGGTGGAAGGGAAGGAAATCGCTCATTGGGGACGCTTAATGTGAATTGTGCATGGAGAGAAATGACAACTTCTCGGGTAACGGAAGAGCAGAGCGCGCGTGTGTGTGTGTGCATACGGGAATGCATTTGGACGAGAGATGCAGGGTGAGAGAGAGAGGGAGTGGGAGAGAAAGAGAGAGAGAGAGGGAGAGTAATATAGGAAAGCGAAGCTTTAATGGGGTGGAGAAAAACGGAAATGGGGAGAAAGGAGGGCGGAGAGGGCTGAGAAAACGCAAGCAAGGGAAAAAACGCCATGTATTTTCTCTTCCTTCTTTTTCTGCAAACTGGCTCGTCCTCGCACCCACGCGCGCACTGTGCACGCCGTGCGCACCGTGCACGTGCACCTCTGTGTGAGGACTTACGGAACAGCAGCATGCTGGCGTTGGAGGCCCCCAGGCGGTTGGAGGCGAAGCAAGTGTAGTTGCCAAAGTGTTTCTCCGTCACGTTGGTGAAGAGCAGCAGTGAGCGCGTCTTCTCGTTTTTGATCCTCAGGGTGTTGTCACTCTCCACCGGCCTGGGTGGTAGCAGCGGTGTGGGGGGGGAGAGCAGCGAAAAGGCAGGAGGGAAGGAAAGCGGGAGGAGAAGAGCGTGTCAGAAGCGGGTGAGGTAACACAACATAGCGTTTCGCCCCAAGAGGCTTTTTGTTTCTACGACTCTCCAGAGACGGCTGTGCGACGCCGTCCCACCCCACGCAGGCTCTGTCTCACCTCATCCTAATAGTGAAATCTAACAGCTCATAAATAACAGAAACCCCCTGCTGGGGCCCATTATACTCCATTAACAGCTCTCTCTCGGCTGGCAAAGGCTCGTCTAAGTACTTCTGCGTGTTATTGTGGCGGATGCCAAATCATTTGAACTCATCTAGGCTCTCTAGCACCTTTTTACAAACTTGAAAAGACAGATTACGTGTGGGTTACAGAGAGCAAATTTGGTTCCAACAAGCTGATATTTCCCCAGAGATGGTGAAAACATTTATTTAATTATCCGAAACCTTTACTAATGTCAGAGGTTAGGTGACTGGACGGCAGCAGTTTTTTCAGATTGATCTCATGTTCCCACTAATAAATCCATTTTGGTATCAGTCCCGTCCCCTCCTTGTCTCTGTCACCACCTCGAGTTGTTTTTGTCACATCGTTGAACTCACTCAGTTCAGAAATTGTCATTGACATTGTAAATTGGTAAATGGTCCAAACCTCTACAGCACCTACACCACGTGCACAGCATTGTCCCAGAAGCTCGCTATTACACAACCGTAAAGGCCGGTGTTTATCGATTGTTCCAGTCTGAAGTGCATTTTTCAAAAAGCCTAAATCCGTGTAAAACGGATCAGCTCAGTGAGGACTGAAAGGCCATGGAGAGAGGAAAAAAAACATTTTTAGATGCAGTGGCCCCTTTCGGGGGTCTCACCTGTGGTCGTCTTTGTACCACTCGAAGGAGGCTGGCGGGACCGCCATGGCTTCGCAGCGCAGGATGGCCGTCTTCCCCAAATGGGCCGGCATGTTCTTCATGTCGGTGATCAAGGGAGGGTCTGGCACAGAAAGACAGGGGAGGAGAGGGCATCCATCCATCATAATAATGCATCTTTAGTATTAACATAAATGGTTTATGCATCACTGAATTATCCCCATTGGGCTGGGGGGGGGGTGCTTACAGTTGACGGTGACCTTGACCTTGCGCTGATCGGGGGAAGCCACTCCGTTGTTGGTGATGCATTCGTAGTCCTCGGCCTGCTGCCTCTTGATCTCCGTGATGTCCAAGAACTCACCGTCGCTCACCAACCCGTCTGTGGACACCAGGCAGATGGGTCACTGGGACTCGGGCCGCCGATTTAAAAAAAAGGGTCACCGCTCGAGGGGGACTGACAACAAACTCATGAATCAGAGGATTTACGAGAACGGGGGAGGCTGCAGACACACGTACAGCAGATATACAACGGGAATCCTCATTATGATATTCATTAGATTTTCTACATTGCCTGTGCGATTCATTATTCGTTAGTTGCATAGCAGAAAACACCATTAAATAATCAAATAAAATGACCCTGAGTCATCAACAAACCCTCAGAAAATGAGTCTATTATCTGTAAGAATAATGTATTACATTTTAAACACTTTTCCCCTATGACCTTGGCTTGGTGCCTCAAACTGTTTTTCATTAAGGTTCGGATGGTGAATTTTGGTGTAAATGAAAAATAAGATTCGGCACCAGTGACCCCATTACTCTTAATGTGTCAGGGGGACTTGTGAGCTTCTCTTCAGGGATCGGACACACCGGGGCGATGGCCTCCTCTCTACGTTACGCACCGAGAAGAATATCCGCCTTTTATTTGATGTGGACAAACTCCCAGGTGCACCAAAACCGTATTAGTTTGTCTCACACTCTCCCCCCGGAGCTCCAAACAACCACGCAGCGTCTTCGGAGGCGAGAGTCGAGGAGACGGGACACAAGTTATTGCTCCATCATGTGAGGGAATGGATGTTGGGAGTGGATCGACGGAGAAGAAGAACAACGCGGGTAAAGGGTTGCACCCCCCCCCCCCCCCCCCCCCCCCTCTCTCCTCCCTGAGTCTTAGCAGCCAGATGTCTCACAGCCTCCGGATCCATTAGGCCCTGTTTTTTCTCCCCCTTTACCCCATTAAAGAAGTCAGACTGTGGAACACGACACAATACATAATCTCACCACTAACAAGGAAATCCTGCTCTTGCATTGCCGCTCAGTTTCCCCCTGCAAAGCGCTCCTAAACATGCACACACAGCCCCTGTCAGTCAATCAGTGGACCTTTACGTGCCCTCGCAAGCACACGAATGGCGCACACACACACACACACAAAACACACTACAAAGGCGCTAAACTCTGCGAGTATTCCTGTCAGAGATTAGCACGGCGGTTCTAATTGAAGATTATGCTGGCGGATTATTAGTGTGGCTACTGAGCTGGAGACGATTATTTGCAGCGGTGGCGGCTGCGGTTGACGGCTGCTTGTGCCAGCCGAGAGGGGGGGGTACAATGGCGTTCGCTCACTCTGTTGGTTTTATAAATAAAGCTTTCTCGCGACATCTCTGTCAAGCCAGCAGAGCACCCAACTTTGCCCGGAAGAGAGGGAGGGGGGGGGGGGGGGGCTGAGCCGGTATCTCGGAGGTGGTAGAGGGGGAGAAAGATATAATCAGACAACCGGCACTGGTGAAGATGACTTCCAGGAACTAAAAGGAGGAGAACAATCGAGTGCTGGAGAGTTTATCAAAGACACTGAGCGAGATACACAGACATGAAGATGGAGCAAAAAGAAAGAAACAGACACATAAACATTGAGGCGTCACGTCGAGTATCTGATGTGCTTCGTTCTTTCATGGACTTCTCGTCCTCGGCACTTGATGTAATATGACAGTGCCGGGCAGCCTTCTCACACTCCCTCCCCCCCCCCTCCCTCTTTGTCCCCTGAGATCTCTGGATGGGCATTGCACACCTCTCTACACTCTGGTGGGAGATCATATCTGACTGCAGTCGGCCCCTGGCACTCCTGCAATGGCCTGTAAAAGACATCTCCATCAACCACTTATGGCTTTTGAAGGAGCCTGACTCCCGACCACCAGAGATAGTTGGATTGCACCTGAGAGAGGCAAAGCGGGGAGGTTGGGTGGTTGAATGGGAGGAAGGTGTGTGGGGGGGGGGGGGGGGGGGGGGATAAAGGGGTCCCTCCCGGCCCGGGATCAAAATGTGGCTCAATTTCCCCAGCGCCCTTTGGAGCCGGGTAGAAAATCAACGCGCCTGAGTCCCCCGGCCCCCTGAACCACTTCCGGTTTAAAACAAAAAAAAAAAACCACCATCCAGGCAGAGAGGTCTGATGTCGGGTTAAAGCAGAGCAGGACGGACAGTCTGACAGGCTAAAAACACCTGAAAGGCCGCGCGCTGAAGGGTGGATAAGTCGAGCTAAACGGAACTACTGCAGAATGATGAACTGCCCCAGTGCTCCCAACGCACAAACTACAGCTGAAATGAGTCTACAGTCTCCCACCCAGAGAGTTTCAGGGAATAAAAAACACAATGATTGTTTGCAAACTTTAAGGTTTAAATCCAAGCGATGTCTCAGGGCATTGCTGTTTCAAATCTCTTTTTTATAAAGTCACTTCTAAATCATATTTCTGACTGAGTCTGGCCATAGACATCCATTAAAATCCAGAAAAACCCACCAATGAGCCACACCTTCCACACATGCATTGTTAATGGCTTCTTCGTCTCTATAAACATGTGCACCGGTTTATTTCCATCATAAACTAAATCCACCATCCACCTTCCTGCAGCAGTTATTTGTCTTGATACACGTCAGGAAAAACTGTTCTCAAGAAACACATTACTTATTGCTTCAGTAACATTTTGCTGAAACTACACTGCCTGACTGTAATCATTTGTCGTTTTTAAAAAGATTAAGTTGTGTATTTTAAAGTGTGAAATTGGCTTGAGGCTGAGGAAACCCAAAGGGGAGAAAAGTTTCAGACACGGATTAACGCACTGTTGGTTTTGTTCTTTTCAGAGGATTGTTAACAGTGTCCAAAATACATAGAATATGGCCGACCTTCAACTTGAGGCACATGAACATTGGGACCCATTACATTTTGTATTTGGTTAATTGTGATGCGTACTGAGCTGGACGTTTTACTGTCCAAAAATAAACTTGCGAGCGCTCTCTAGCAAAACTTGCCTTCCTTTTCCACTCAAACGACTTCCACACTCAACCGGCACACCTGCTATTCATTATCTCATGATTGGACACGTCCGTCCCTCGTCGTCTCCACTCAGTGTAAACACCCAGTAACAAAACATCAGGCCTGGGCGCCATAACTGGAGCAAAGCATTTGAGTCACTGTTCACGATTCCTGTCACTTTCTCTTGTTTTGCGTCTTTTTACACATGTTCTATTTTGGATTTGTTTGTCTCTTGCTGATTTCCACCTCCTCCCTTTCAACCCCACTTCTGTTCCACGCAACACCCAAAAGGTTTAATAACCATAAAAAAACTAAAAAAAACCTGAATTCCCCGTTAAATATATGCTCACCGCTGGCTCGTGTTCCTTACTTCTTAGTGAAAAGTGCATGCTTCCTTCTGCCCGCCCGCAGAAGGGAACCAACCAAGCGTTCATTCGCCCGAAGCTTTGCCCGCGAGTGTTTTAATGGAGGGATGTCAAACGATAAGGCCCCGATGCGGCCGGTGTAGTCAACCGTACGGGACGAGGGATGCCAGGGAGAGTGACACATCGTGTCTGTACCTCGGTGCAGATGAAGGAGGCGGCGCCTTTACTCTCTGTACGTAGCAAGTCGCTAAGTGTGTGTGTGTGTTCAGGTTACACGGTGGGAAGGGGGGGGGGCGAGGACCAGGCAGGTCTATAAGGTGTTGCAACTCTCCATCTTTCCCACTCAACCTACACTGCTCTCTACGTCACCCCCCCCCTCCCCCCCACCTCCTCCATGCAGCCAAATGGGGGAGACAGATGGCTGGCAGCTTCTCGCTGTTTCTTCTGGCTAGTCGGCCCCCACCTCTTCCTCCGGTGCCCCTGGTCGCACACTGCCACGGAATCGCGATGCAGCCCCTATCGCTGCGAGCTGAGGGGGTTATTGGGGGAGAGGAGGCGGTGGGAGATGTTGGGGTGGGCTGGAGATGGAGGATTACTGCTGACGGTGGACAAATGGTGTCGGCTCGCAAGTGAGGACCACCGCGTGGTCCGTGATGTAGGGACGCACGTGTCCATGTGCGTTCATTAATTTTTTTAGGTGCCTATGACCACTTGACTCACCCTTTCTGAGGTTGTGTTCACAAACATTGACTTAGTGTATCTTTCACCTTTATGAAATACCTCCTTCAAAAGTGAAGCTGGAGCTTTTTAGCATTCAGCTCTCAGAACAAACTCCATTCATATTTCAACAAGGAGCTCATGAAGTTCAAGGTTGTTTTTTATTTGCTTATTGTCCCTGGACCAACAGTCCAGACAAATCTGTTGCAGGACTACGTCAGAGTCAACAGCTAGGAAAAAACATTACAAAGATATATAGAATATAAAAACACTATACGTAAGGCGGAGGTGGTAATGTGTACAACACAAGTATGATACTTATGTTAGACAATAGAAACAACAGTAAAATATAAGTCAAAAAAGACATTCTTTGCTTGAACACAGATTCTTATTGTAATAAGTTACATTAAGAATATTACAATTTAAAATATTTCAAGTATTAGAATTAGATTATTAGAATTAGTGGCGTGGTGAGTTCCACTGAGTGCGGCTGCAACAACCACTGCTGTTGTCGGTCAAAGTACAAACCCTCCACCAGGACTGCAAGTATCACACTTCTTCTCCCCGCCACGTCTCGCATGGCAGATCCCCCGTTTTGATTCCATGCAGATGTTTGCACTGGCTCTGTGCCGGTGCACGTCTGGACTCCGTCTCACAGGCGTGATCACAGCATCGAGCAAATATTTAGGCTTCAGTTTTTCTCTTTTCAATATTTGCACGTTAAACGTGAGGTCGACGCCCAATGGAAAGGCTGGAATAACCGTCCGTGGCGAAGCAGCCGGCTGTGTGTGTTTTACATTGAGCTGTAGGTCACCGAGTGCCAGAGGGACACCGGAACGGTCCGACCGCAACGCTGCCGAAGCCATTTCTGGAAGAATATTTTAATTAATGTATATAATTCTTTCAGGCATTCAATGGCCACGGAGTGGCATCCCGCTTCGCGGTTGGCCCACTGCATAAGTGGGTTGGTCCATTGTAAGCACATACCCATATCATAGTGTCATTGTCCTGATAAACCAGCTGATGTGCTACACTACAATAACATCATTCATGCAATTACGCTCCGAGCAACCAGATGGCCAGCGGCAACGTTGGCAGTATCGATACGGTCCTGGCAGCATCAAAGATGAAAGATGTTTTCGAGATGAGCATCTATCCGTGAATGATAACCCAAAATATTCTGCACTTTGATGCAGCGCGCCTGCATCCTGGTCTCAAACCACGATGCGTGCTAAAAATAGCGTATTTGAGGGGCCGATGGCGTGGGCTGGCATCGTGACACTGGTTGATGGGGTGGATGAAGACGGATGCTCATGATTACATGTGGCACGGTGGGAATAATTACGTATAATGTGGGGTCATTTGGGAGAAAACACTGCAACATGGGGAGAGTGTTGAATTTAAGATGTGGACAGACTTAACAGCTGGGTTTAAGAGTGATGACACAGGAATGTAGGATAAAGACATGAGCTGAATGCTGATAAGCGTTTAGGAAGTAAATGGGTTGGGGGTGGTGGCGGGCATAAAAGAGGATCGGGATGAATGTGAAGTCTGGGAGAAAAAGGCGAAGCGGTGAACAGGATATCTGTGGATCGGGTGACAAGCGGGCGGAAGGCGTAGCTCACATTTCTGGTCTTTCCAGGTGACGGTGGGCTCGGGGCGACCCACCGCCAGGCAGAACAGGTTCACGTTCTCCCCTTCGTTCACCGACACGTTTTTGGAGATGTTGACAATCCTCGCCGCCACTGAAAAACAAGATCACGCCATTAAAATATGACCCCAAAATCTCTTTTTTTTTATTTCATAAATTATTGATGAGGTATGGCCTCTGCTTATTAAGGTGCTTGAGGTATGATGCAAATCCGTGCTCCTAAGACAGAGGGGCAATCAGCTGATTAATGCTCTGTGCTCACTCAACTGTGAAGTAATATGCTTGAAACGCACTGAATTTTCAATTTGCGGCAAATGGGAATAAAAATATCCTTCTTTTTGCATCTAACACATTTTAAAGAAAAGAAGAGAAAAAACAAGTGGTTGTCAGACGGTTACTCTTTAGGGAGAATGACCACTCCTGGATATTGTTTTGCTCCAAACTCAAAGGGGGTTAGAGAGCTATGCATGTATTTAGTTTGATAATAAGATGGCCCCTTGAATTTAAATGGCCCATTATCACTGCTTTTAATGAGCCCGGGCCTGAGATTGCTTCTTTTTTCACCGAGACATCCACCGAGTAGCTCATTTTTTTCAATCTTGCTGCAGTTGAACACTTGCAGCACAGATTGGAGTGGAGGTGAAGCCGCTCCTGCTTGACGTACTGACTAGAGGGTGTAATTATTTAGTGTTATATCAAGCTAAGGCTGGAATTGCAGGGGACTTGGAATTAGGTATGTGTGGCCATCCTCGCCAAGCACTGCACCCCGCAGAAAGGAGTTGTTTGTCTGGCTGCAGTACGGTGTGAAAACTCTTGGTACAAAGCGGACACCGTCTCTGCCGCCGTGACCTGCTGTTTCCCTTCCAGCAGAATGCAGCATTTTTCATCCTGTCGGTGACGTATTGGTGAAATCTGCTTTCCGCACTATCCAAAACATGCATAAAAATGGACACATCCAGGGGGAGGGGGGGGGGGACACGTCTGAGATCCATCGTCTGGAAGGTTCGCACCAACACATCATGTCACTCCGAATCAGTCAGACTCTCAATCACTTAGTTGCTGACCTGATAACTGAGCCGCAGTGGTGGTTCTGCACTGTCAGTTGTTAAGTCAGGCAGTTGGAGACCCCCCGTCCCCTCCATCCTCCCCTTCTCCCCTGTGCACCACATTTCCTCAACACACATCTACACACAAATAACAGGTTGGACTTGGCCTTCATTTTGAAACGGACATTGTGTCACCTGCATTGGCTTGCTTTCCTGAAGGCCAACTAAGCTTCCAAATAAAGAACAAATACTAACCGTGTATGCTCAAACATCATAAGAACATACAATGATAATAACTACATTTCAATTATACCTTTAACGGAAAGAAACAGTAAAACGTAACCATGGAATATCTGAATTACTACCATTTTCTTTGCATTACATCGGCCACTGTTTCTTTCCAGGAAACAGTTCATAAGTGTCTTCTGAGAGGTCCCTGTTGGGTCCGGACTCGGCTGCTCACCTTGGACAATGAGGTAGACGTTGGCAATGCGGGGGTTGTTGTTGGCCTGGGAGCTGCAGATGTAGGGTCCCTCGTCGGTTACTTGCACCTTCTCGATGTGGATGGAGAAGTCGCTGTTGTTGCTGTTTGCCAGCGTCACGCGCTTGTCAAGCGACCACTTATCCGTCCCCGCGAACAGGATGTTGGAGCGGTTCAGCCAGGCCTTGTGGGTCACCTCCTCATCGATCTGACATCTGGGAGGACCGGAGGGGGAGAGACACGCTACATAAGGCTGAGAGGTGTTCCCATCGTTACATACAGATCTACAAACGGGTGAAATGTCAAAATCAAAGTGGACCAGTAAAGTGTTGCATACAGGTGATGGGCTTCAATGGACCGGGAAATACACCAGGCCGCTCTCTGTTACTCATCCAAAAATCTCCCACAAGTATTCAAATACATGGAAATGCAGAGCCTGCAAAGGTCAAAGCACAAGATTCACTTCCTTTTCTATTAATCAAAAGTCCCTGCATGCAGGCCCTGAATTAAGCATCTTCCATTAATTATGTCTCTCTACACATTTAATCTCACGTCTTCTACATTTGTCCCTTCATCATTAGGAGGTCAAGATGTTATAGACAAACCGCTTTGGTAACATTGCACTAATGATTTCCCATCACTTACACAGGTTGAGAGAAATGGGTCGGATTCATAAATAATACGGCAGAGGTCAGTTAAAGGAAAATCCAAGAGGTTGTGAGCAAAGCGTTGCATTAGAAGTGGCTGTAAATTGTTATTGTCTCCACAGCTTGGTTTTTGTCTTTCAGATATGAGGATATGAGCGAGTGTGATCCAAGGGCATTAAATCCCTGACATTGTTCTCAAGAGGAAGTGGCCCGTTTGGAAACAGGGACCACCATCTATCTAAAGGGTGGCTCTTAATTTCTTGGCTTGGCCACTAGATGTCCTTACCCAGCTTCAACGAGCACCGGCCTCCATTGTCCTCATGTTTAATCGATGTGACCTGGACAAACATCAAGGTTAAGGTGGATCTTAGATCCCCCAGTGCCAGTGACACTGCGACGCATAAGAGCCACAGTGCAGACGAGCCCTCGACGAGCTAGGAGGGACCGCGCCGATGATGCTCAGGTGGTCACGTGACCCGAGGGCCAAACAGGAAGAAGAAGATGTCTCACGTTGATTTAGACAGAGAGACGTGAAAGCAAGAAAAGCCACCATGAAAAAAGAGGTTATTATCTGTGTACAAACTAATAATCTGTTTTTAAAACGAATCACTTCGGCGCTGATGATGTTGCTGCAGGACTGTGAACCCGGAGGAAATAAGCACCATAATAGCATCAAATGTGCGTTGTCTTAATGGGCCGCATCAACGGCAGCCCAACAGCTTTGTCTCAAGCGTAACACAAGTATTTGTGCCGTTTGGGCAAAGGGGGTTTTACATAAACATGGATATTATTCATGGAGCTGTTTAGTCTGCTGTTTAACTAAACTCTTGATTGCAAAATGAGCGTTCGTCTAATAGCGTGAAATCTAACCTCCAGGATAACGTCTGGAGAGCAGCAGGTACAGTTTTAAAGCGATGGTTGGACAGAGAGGAAGGCCGAAACCTGAGGGATCGGGAGACTGTCGACAAGAAGGAAACTCAAGAAAACATGTTCCTGGCATACAGGATTAAATACAGGATTAGTCGTTCGGACTTTGATCTCATCTTTGTGCTTTTTTTTTGTCCTGCGAGTCAGTCGATAATTCTTTATTTAAGCATTCAAACAAAACACGCGCTGAAGGATTTATCTGCCTTTTGTTTGAAGTGGTCAAGTGTGCACTTAAACAACATTAAGTACAGCTTTTGTTTTTACACCGAATAGTCCAAAAGGTTAGAAAAGGCCGGTTTAAAGAACAGAAAGGGATTACCACCAGTTTACACAAACATGTTAAATCTGCCAACGCACAGCTCCCAGATAACCAAACCCTAAAGGAATAAAATAGAGACATTGAACGCGCATGTTTTCAGAATCCCAGGTGCTCCACACCCAGTTTTTGATTTCTCTACTGTGTCAATAGAAGAGCCTCGAGCTACACGTTGACATCGTTACGGATCGGCCTTCGTGGTTGCTTGAATCCAAACTTTGAGAGACTCGTGGATGTTGACAAATATTGACAGACCCTTTTGTAGATCTGTTTGACCTGCGTGGAAGGCCCCCCTCTTCCTGCAGGAGAGAGATGAAACTCAAAGAGACCTGAAGGGCTGTGTAGCCTTAAACGTGATGAAAGTCATGTTGACTTTTGGATTTATTTTTTCCCGCTGCTAAATGCACCGGCGAGCCCGGTCACATCCACAAGACGGGGGGAGCAAGTTGTCTATTCCTCTGCCTGTGATTTCTCCTTTTATCCGTTACCGCTGCACCTGGTGAAAGGTGATCGCTCACAGACGGGGGAACTCCAGCGACATGTGACAGTTATTAGCATTCTCATTAGCTGCGGGACAGACGGAGTTGAAAAATATGGCACAATATCAGGAGCCTAATTGAAGTTATGTGACGGAGAATTGGCAATTAAATTGGCACGACAGGTGTGTGGGGGGGAGAGGGAACGCAAACATGAATTTCGTGCAATTAGTAGGTGCAGGAGTTACCTCAAAGTGACTCCATCTCCCTCCAACACTGTAATGTTGTCCGGCAGGTGTCCGAACTCTCCTCCGTGCGCGCTGGACGCTGCGAAAGGAAAAACGGAGAACATTAAGCATCCAATCATGGCGGCTTCCATCCATCTCGGGGTCAGTTGCTGTTTGGAGGCGGCGGCATCGGCCCAATCCGGTCGGGCTCTGTATCCTGAAGGGAAAGTAATGCATACACTAAACAAAAGAGTCACAACGTCTGCGCTGACCCCCCGTACTTGAATAATGATTTGGTTTTCCCCCTGCATCCTGCCGGGATGCGCACTCGTCGAACAGCGCTGATAATGAGCCGAGGGAAGAGGATCACGCGGAGCCGCCGGAGCGTGAAATGAAGGGACAGCGAGAGTAACAGAAGGAATGCTCATCCTGCCTACCAATTCACACACACACACACACACACACACACACACACACACACACACACACACACACATAGTGGGTGCCATTAGTTGAAGAGGAGATTCCAGCCTGGCATCTGCGAGATGTGCTCCAGGTGGGTCACTTTAAAGAAGTTTCAAGTCATTTTCCGTCAACTTGCTTGGACTGCAAACAAAGACCTTTTATATGCAGGCCGGGATTCTGCGTACGGCGACTGGGTGGCTCCGCCCATCCCGACTCACACAGCACGACGCCAGGAACCTCGGCCTGCGTCTCCCCGCCATCTCGGACAGCCTCTTTCTCCCCGCGCCTGCAGAATGACCTCAATATCTCCAGCAGGCCTTTGCCGTGTTCTCGCCCAGAGGTTTAATAAATGGTGACTTTATGAAATAAAGCCAGTGCGCTGAACCGCTTAGAAGCACCTCGAGGTTTGTCGAATAACCGCACGAGGACATGTTAAGCATGTCGATGAGGAGACCCGGGAAGAGATGGAACCCGAGGCGAGGGCGATGCAGCACTACAAGAAGGACGTGGGCTTTGAATTAAAGGAGGGCCTTTGTGGAATCATGGATTGATTACAGAGAATAATTACAGAGGCTTCGGAATTACGATGCACTCGCGTGCGTTTCCTAATCAAAAGGTCTCCAAACTTCACAGCCAAAAGTCCCGAGAACTGCCAACATCCCTAAATAATAATGAATCATCCTTTAAATGAAGACCAATCATGCATGAGTGTTTGTGCATACAGTGGAGTTTAGCGTTTCACAGCGAATATAGGCTACGTTGTTCAGTCATATATTCATGTGTGTGTGTGTGTGTGTTGCTCAGCACGCACAGTAGCAGTCCGCCGCTCATTTCTGTGAATGTGTGCGTTTTGTTTGCTGCCATGCCGGAGGAGAACAAGAAAGGAGGACAAACTAACGACGCCTCAAAAGAAAAGTGTCCCTGAAAATCTCCGGCTAAAAGCTGTAATCGCATTAATGGGTGCTGCTGCTGCTGCTGCTGCTGCTATCTAGGCCGGCCAAGGATGACAGAACTGGTCGCATTTCTCTCTCTCTCCCTCTGTAAAAGCCTTGGGGGGAGGGGCATAGCACCATTGTGCCCAATGTTGAACAACTTTCACCAGCTTTTGTTCATCTGTGGCTTTTATCCCGGAGTAATGTTGCATCGCTGTGCTAATGCTCGCCGTCTTAGACTCACTGTCCTCGGCTCAAGAGCTCAGCTGTTCCCTTTCAAGTGCTCTGTACTCTACATACCAGACTTTATTTAGGTCAATTAAATTCAGTTGCAGGGCTCGGGGGCTCGGAGACGGGTGTGACACGGCGTCATGAATGCAGACACACACACACCAGCAGTGAAGATGCGCTGCCTCTCTCTCTCTCTCTCTCTCTCTCTCTCTCTCTCGCGCCATCGCATAATGTAACCAATGGGACTCAGGCGCGCCGCACACATTTTGATTGAATGAATGATGGCGCTGAACAACACGGCGAAGGTCACAAACCAGCGGGGAGCAATTCCCATTTCCCTCCTCGAATCCCATTTTCACAGCTTGATTGTCACCTTGCGTTCTAAAAACGAGTATCACCCCGCCTCCGCTTCCACGCGCCGCGCAGCACGATAACTAGGCCCACGCAGACGGTCGATACTTCCTCCCGCGCGTCGCGGCGCGGGACGGATCGCGGGCCTGGGCACTCATTGACAGGCGAGTCGGGACAACAATCTGAGCAAAGACCCAGGAGACACAGATACCCAGATACCCAGCGTTCACTCTTCCTGGAACCTTTTGTGACCCCTCAGTCATGGCGAATGCTCGGCGCGCCGCGAAAAAAGCAGCTTCCTGTAAATAGAAGCGATAATCATGAGCGGGATGTGTGTTCCAGAGATGAGAGACAGACTTGAGACAAGAGAGCCGGCATTCACCCTCCTTGTTTTATATGATATTTCAATATTTGCTTGACAACTAAACTGTCTTGTACTCGCCACTAAAGAAAATCTAAAGCGGACCCCGACGCGTACAACAGAATGCTGCCAGAGAAATGTGGGCTGGCTGTGAACTGCCTGCAGAATTACTAAGGTTGATGACAATAACAACAGTCGTGAAAAGATGCACATCGATGGGAACAGAACAATCTCCATATGGTATTTTATGATTGCTTTGGCTCTACTTAGGATCAAAGAGACTCACTCATTATATATGAGTGCAATGTAATGAGTCATGTTTAGAAAATACTAAAAAGCAGCAGCACTGTACTTGCAAACGATAAAGTATTTTTTCTACTATTTGGACAAAGATTCGTTTGACAGGCTAATTTTCTTTTGGGTGAAATGAAATAGGAATAGGAACACCGTGTATTCCTACATCCAATGCACCTGTTGTTAACCCCACGTGTTTCCGGCACAGAATTTGGGAGTGAAGGGTTTTTCACATTGGATGTTCTGTTTGTTCAAAATTGGCCACAGCAGTCAAATCAAATACTATAATGGTCATTGCTTCTACAGATGAATGAGTACAAATTGTGCCCCACTAACCGGACAGGGAGTGTTCTGGGTGTGAACCTCATCTGGCTGAATGACGGCGCGTCGCCAAGCCTTTGATGTAATCCACGTGATTCGTCCCTATTCAAGAAATTATTTCAAAAGCCGTCGTCCGAACACAGCGGACGCGATCAAACGGAGCAATAATGAGTCCGCACTGCATCCAGAATCCTCCGACATCACAACCAAGTCCTCGGCCACTTTGGTTTTATTGATCTCGATCTCAATTTTGTGTTTTTTTTTTGTCTTTGCTCCCTCCTGGGGCTCATCGGGAGGTTTCATAAGTCTCGCCCGTTGACACTCGAGAAACGTCAGTTTGCCTGCCAACAAACCAGCGACTACCCCGCCGACTCTAAATGTGGAGACACAATGTGAATCCCAAAAAGGGAGCTTTTCATCTTCGGTGCTTCAGTAGCCCACTTTACAAAAACAAAGATGCATTTGTGGAGGAGACACACGAATTCTGAGCCTTTATAAGACCGCGGGTGAGCAGAGTATGAATAGAGTGGGGCCGATAAATAACCGTGCATGAGAACAGTACTGGTGGTGAATACTGCCGTGCCCCCCCCCCCTCCCCCCCGCCCCCCTACGTATTACCTGTCCTACTCTTGTCTACAGTTGATACAGTCCGCCATGGCTCCCCCTATCTCTTGTCCTTGCGGCGACCGGCTGTTTTGGCACATAAAAGGACACCCTGTCTCCATAACACACACACACACACACACACACACACACACACACACGCGCACACACAAATGCACGTGCTTGTATTCTGTCCAAATGACCCCCCTTGCAGCCTTTGTCTGCACACAGCACTGAGCCTCGGGGCTAGATTTATCCCGTATTTTTAAGAGAAATGAAATTTGATGGCCACGCCTGAGGGAACACACGGAGGAAAAGAGTGCGCTCGCACACCATAACGCCACAGCTACTGGAACTGTTCCGTCAGTCAGTTTTTACTGCAGAGGCAGGAATCTGTTTTTACTCATCCCTGGATAAGCCTTCATATGTTGCTGGAGGTGGACGTCGGTAGAAAACCCTCGCCAACGGCGCTTCATTGTTTGTGCTCTCCTGCATTGTGTGTCTCTACAGCATTGCAAGGCTGTCTACTCCGCACCCATGAGACATCTGTTATGGGATTTTTTTTTTTGTCTCTTGACTTTGCTTGTTTGTAATTGCACTTGCCACTGGCAGATACTCACGGGCTGCGCTCCGAGCTGTACAACCGTAGCCTGCGTCGTCCTCTCGCACGGCGGGTTTTTGTACCGTTCGTCTATTCTTGCATTGCCCTTGACGATCAAATACACAGAGAGGAGGCAAAGCTACTTCAGAGAGCACGAATGGCGTCAAGGCGGATAACGGCGGAGGCCGTAATGACAGCCGTAACAACAATCTGTTATTGAAATTGAAAGGAAAAGGAGAGAGGCACAGCACAAGGTTGGAAGGTGGAGGTATAAAAAACGGGGCGAGTTGAGGTCCTGAAGAGAAAGCGCTTTGGGACCTGTGGTGGAATATGGAACTATAAATGATGCTGCGACAGTTAGAGGTAGTTAGTAGCAGCAGCAGTGATGTGAGGTGATAATGGCGGCAATGGCGTTAATAGTAGCGAGACGGAAGTGGCTTCAAAATGTAGAGGGGAGGGGGGAGGGGGGGTGCAAGGACACAGTCAGTTACGCTGGGGCAAAGCGCAGAGCAGAAGGAAAGACACACCCGCATAATTAACACCGGCATGCTGCAACCAATTAAATATTTACACAGGCACCTTCCTCCCGACACCTTGATGACGAACAGAGGCAGCCCAAGGATTATCAGACTCAGGGAGCCTGAGGCGGGAGACAAGGGGTTGGGGGTGTGGGATTAAACATTAACCGGCACAGATATCCCTTCCTCTTCCTCGTCTGATCCCATTAACTCTGGCTGGCCCAAACCCAACCTTGTGTCCACCTCCCCGGAGCCTCATCTTCCTCCCCTTCTTCTCCGTTATCTATTCTGCCCCCCCTCCCTTGTGTGAGAGAAATCCCCTGGCCCCCCCCCCCCCCCCCCCCTCTTCTGGCTCCTTCCACCCTCGGCACCACCTGTCAGGGACGGAGCAACGGGAGCGAGTGAGAAAGCATCTGGGCGCCT